ATTAAATAGAGCGAGAGAGAAGAGATGGATCTAAACGTCTCTTGTTATCTAGTTATGTTAAAACTTATCATGTCGTTGGATTTTAAAAAATAATAATATGAAAGCATGTAGTATTAATTAAGTTCAATAGTGGGAAAACACCTAATTAATTTTAAATGGACTTGATTAATGATTACTAGTTAATTTAGGAAACAAATAGGCATTGAAAAGGTATGGAGTTTGGAGTAGTCTTATGGATTAGAGCCATATCACTCAATTAACACACCATCAGTCAAGTCTATCATAATAAGTTAATAACACAGACATGGATTAGAGCCATATCTCTCAATTAACACACCATCAGTCAAGTCTATCATAATAAGTTAATAACACAGACACACACAAAATCATATTTCATTATGAATGAAAAAAATGTAATTATTGACCTTTCTCAGTCATAATTTCTTTTCAATAGTATGTTGTTTTACTACTGGAGATATCACATGGTAGATGCAATGCTTGAAATAAATCTATATTTCGGCTTAGTCGCCAATCATAAAAATAAAGACTTCTTGAAATAGAGTAGCAAGTGGAAACCCCACCTTTCTTAAAGTTCCTTGAATTTTCACAAACAATATAATTTTCCATGCCCAGTGGTAAAAAGTTTTCAGAAAAAGTGTTTGTACTCGGTGCAGTGAAATAAGTACGTAAGAGCCATACAACAATTACGGCAATATTTGTCTTGTATGATGAACATATTTATTGGCTATAGACCTATAGTTAACGGTTACACACACAGAAGAGAAAAAAATAGATAGAGACACTATGACTGCTACAGTAGTTTACACAGTAAATTTATCTAATACGCGAAAAATATTTATGGTTGGTGATATGACATAAGACAATCATAGCTATCAGCCTATAAAATTCAATACTATTTATTGTGGAAGTAATAGCTATTTTTAGATATAAATAAATTGGATTACAAATGTGGGGTTTCAGTTTGTTTTTTAAAGATATTTAAATTTAGTACTGTTCCATCTGACCTATACTTAAAAACCATCCCGCATCACACACTTCATTCATAACTTACATTCATATCTAAAACCCTAAAACTAATATGTTATATATCTTAATTATAAGAAAATAACTACATAAAGTTTTGTGCATAATATACATGTATCTTTTTATTAGCATAGACAATAATTTTTTCAGAAATAATACTTAGTAGTTAGCAAACAACATATATACTCCACAAACCAATAATATATGACGTAGAGACAAAACAATAACACACACACAGAAGAAGTTATTTGTAATTTTGATTATTCATCTCAAGTGACAAAATGAAGTCAGCCAAAAAAATGCTAGAAAGCTATTGAAACGTGAACGAACTTTTAAAATTCATATGCAACAAATAAAATATAAGTTGGCTGAATTTTGGAGACATCTCACAAAACCATCAATCCACCAAATTACCCAATTAAAGTTAGTCCACCTAAACACAATTAACTTTGTGGTTCTACAGAAAAAAAAAATCTTTAAAACAATACATTTGTCGTATATATAATCAAGTTTTTTTTTTTTTTTTTTTTTTTTTTAATAAACCACTTTATATTAATACCTCATAGAGTACAAACATGATTACATGGAGAGAGATTAAACATGATTATATATAATCAAGTTGATTATATTTTATACCACCATTAATTAATTATATTTATTTACACGAAATGGGGTGTTACAAATCACGGTATTACAACTTTCTAAATGAACTACTCTTTCTGTATTTAATATATTAATTAAAATATGATTTATATTCCACTCCATTTTCTACGTAACTTTGCCTCCCACCTCTATAAAACCCTTAGCCCTCACTTCCTTTTACTTCAAAACCACTTCACACACAACACACAGAACCCTCCTTCTCTCTATAAACATCCCACAAACTATCTTTCCACAACACAAGACAAAACTCAAAACAAATCATATCAAAGATCATGAACACGATTCCGGCAGAACTCACCGGATACTTCCATTATCTATCACCGGATAAGTATAATAACCAAAACCCAATCATGGAGTCTGAGTACTTCAACATGCCTTCTTCTCCTACTTCTTCTTCTACATTCTACCACCTCAACGGTTTGATCAACAACAACAAGTACTCTTCATCATTCAATGGTCAGGATCTAATGACGAGCAACAACTCAACTTCAGACGACGATCACCAACAAAGTATGGTCATCGATGAGAGGAAACAAAGAAGAATGATCTCTAACAGGGAATCTGCTCGTAGGTCAAGGATGAGAAAGCAGAGACATCTCGATGAGCTTTGGTCTCAAGTGAAAAGACTTCGCACTGATAACTACTGTCTTATCGATAAGCTGAACCGCGTATCTGAAAGCCATGAGCTTGCCTTAAAGGAGAACGCTAAGCTTAAAGAGGAAACTTCTGATCTCAGACAGCTTATCTCTGAGATTAAGTCAAACAACGAAGACGACAACAGTTTTCTAAGAGAGCTCGAAGATTCGATATCAAACTCTAGATCGGATTCGAACCAAAGCGGCAGAGATTTTGAGTTGTGTTGATGATCTTGATCATTGTTCTGCTTATGTCAAGACTGTAGATTTCATAAGGATCATATTGTATTGTCATATAATATTATTAATAATGATATTCTCTATCGAGAAAAGAAATATTGTTCTTCTATATCTTCTTTCTTTTAGCCAACTTGAGTTAGTTAAGAATATTAATGATGATCATGGACGTACGATAAATATTATATTATTCTCAAATTTAAAGCCTTTTTCAAGTGATAAGTGTCCTAAAAAATTGTATGAATCAAAAACCTTCAAAACTTAAAACAACATTGTGTTATAGACTTATAGTTCCAAGAAATACAAACAATTTTAGGTTCACGATCGATGTGAATTAATTCCACTGGGACAATAGGTGTTCCGGATGACATCATTTAATTTTTTAGTATTAGTTATGTTTGGTCGACATGAAATTTTTGATCAGTTAAATGCCTTGTTTGAAAAATCGCTAGGCGCTAGTCGGGCGCTCGGCATGGGCCTAGCGATTAATCGGAAAATTGGATTAAAATCGGGGATTAATCGGGGATTAGTTTTAGGGTTATTTTAATATTTTTAAAACATATTAATCCAATATTATTTTTAAAATTGCAGTAAACACATAAAAATGTATTTTTGAGACAAATATTTATGATTTTTATTAAAATATGAACATAAATTATTGTAAAACATTACAAACTCCCAATTCAAATGATTGCATAACAAAAATAAAAAGTTTTTTTATACTGGCAATCTAAAAATAATCGGGGTATGTAAGATTAGGCGGGGAATAATCGGATTAGGCGGGAAATAATCGGATTAGGCGGAGAGTAATCGGGTGACTGATTTCTTTAAGGGATTAGTCATTAATCGAGGCGGACAGGATGGGCCTAGCGATTAAGCGGGGAGTAATCGGGTCTAGGCGGGGATTTTTAGAACAGGGGTTAAATGTATCTTTCAAGAGAAAACTAAAGAAATATTTTCGTAAATTATTTTATTTTATGTCCGTACTTCTCTTTATATATTTTTATAAATAAATTTAGTTACCAATAAACTTGTTGGTACCAATATGTTGCTGAATTTCCATGCGTGGAGTTTAAAACCATAAAATTCGAATAATCTGTAATAATAATAATGTCGATTATCAAAATATTAAATGTATCGGTTTGTTTTTTATACCAAATCTTACTCCCAAAACTTCACTTCGCCGCATAAATAGACTGCATCATAAAAAAAAAACATTCATGGCAAACAAAGATTTAAGATGAAATTGATTGCTAAACAATGGTGGACCAATTCCTCTTTTTAGTTTAATCAACCATTTGATCATTAGCCCTTTTTCTTATTTTGTCCTTATTTATTTTAGCCACTAAAGCATATCACTAATTCGAGTTTCACAGAACCACCTAGAAATTGTTCCTTCAAAAAATTTCACCTGACGAATTAGTATTCTTCTGAATCCAAACACATCAAAATCAAAAGGAAGAGATCAATGTACATCATAAAACACTTAACAGTGCTGATAAATATAATTAACTTATCCTTGACGTAGTTTTTATACGTTTTTTTGCTTTCATATGTTGGAGAAATATTATTCTATTGTTATCTTTTACTGTTAAAGATAATTATTATTCTAACTCTGGAAGTACATTTGGATATATAACTGGCCGAAGAATAGAAAATTCAATACAGTATGTATTTGTTTTTGGGTGCAAACTAATATGTGTATTGTTGAAAAACTTAGTTTGTGCCTTTGTGGTTTCATTTATTATCTGATAATATAATCATGACTACATGCAACATACTGCAAAAAAGAAAAAGAAAAAAATGACGCATCAAGCCGAGAAATATATTCCATATGCCCATATTATTTGTTGAATCATCAATATTAGATAATTTTTTGCAAATCGTTGAATATAAGACTATTTAAAAATGGTGGATGGTATTGGTTGTTGAAATGAAATTAGACAAAGGGAGGTGGAGGCTCCTGGTTATAGTGCCTCTGCAAAAAGAGTTAAAAGAAAAACAGATATATAAAACATGTCTACTGAATTAACCAATCTTTTTAGTAACGAATAACGATTAATTAGTACTTTAATATATATATATATATATATATATATATATAGAGTTAAATAAGCTAAGTAACAACCAAAATTGGAAAAAAATAATTTGGTAGCAATGCTATCCTTCCTTTCAGCATGTTTTCTTCGTTTTAGGATGACCGTAAGCTTCTATATGGGTCTACCGGTCTATACCAATAAGTAAAAAGCCCAATTATTTTTCTTTTTCGAAAAGCTTAATTAGAGTATCTTGGTCGTCTACCCCAATTAAACTTCAAGCTGTCTCTAGTCACTCAAGACAGAACGTTAGGATACATTAACAGAAACTAAACCAAGTAACGAAGCTTCGAATAAGAGAATAAAAGAACAAAAGAACATGAAGTCATGAAACACATGGTCAAGTAGACTTTAGAACTAATCGGTAAAACCGGAAGAAAAAGAGCTGGATTTAACGGCGAAAAGCTCATTTCAAAGGTTTACGTTTATAATTTGCTAAATAAAAGACAAAGAGTAATGGTTCTTGTTTCAAGGAGATAGGTTTAAATCTTGTGTATAGATGTAATCGGTGTGAGCAGCTACAGTTTTCTTCACAAGACATTCTTCTTCACTGTCTAAATTCTTGCACTCTACTCCATCTCTGTCACCTTTAGTACTGCTTCTTGCTTTCTCCTAGATCCACCAAGAAAAATAAAACTAGTGTGATGAATCACTCAAATTTATTCATTTTATATCTTTCAGAAAATTTCCTGTATTCGAAAAATTTATTTGTTATCATCATATGCCGAAACCAACAATTGATGATTTTTACAACTTACAATCATTCTGATCCATATATCGTTTTCAAACATACATAGTAGCTATAATGGTGATGGATCGTATATTACTAATTATTCATGTTACACTCTTTCAAAACGTCATCCCATATGATTTGTATTTTTTTCCATAATAATCATCAAGCTAAGTATTCATTTTTCGAAAAATAATTTCGCTGTGTATTGACGAACTTACATGTGTGGTGGGAGATGGTTTAGGAGGAGCAAAACCATCTTCTCTTAAAATAACACTTGAAGCCATGCTTAAAAGCAACACTAGAGTGAAGAAGAAGAACAACACTTCACTTTTCCTCTTCATAATTTTTTTCTTTCTGTTTCTTCTTCTTCTTATCTCTAATAAGTGTTCTTTTATATACTTATAAAGCCAATACAGAGAATTAAGTAAGTATACAGAGATATTTTGACTTTGTTATAATAAATAATAAAGATGCGGCTGGATAGATTCATAAATGCTTGTATAGAGAAATGGGCGTTTCATGCAAAGAAAAAGGAAAGATCGATGAAGCTGAAAGAGAGAGAGAGAGAGAAAGGGAAGTCAAACTTTGGCATCATCGTGTCAACGCTTTCATTTCTCCTTGGAAACCTCACCTCTTCCTTCTTGTTTTCAATGTCAATTTATCGAAACATCATCGACCTTTTTTATATTTCCTCTATTTTACGAAGTATTATTGTACTTATTTTCGCACAAGTTTAAGAACCTACAAAAATTTATGTATACTTTTCTTAATACGCAAAAAGTTCCAATTTGATAATATACTTGGAATTGGATTATCAAATAGAAATAAAATTGGAATTTAATTTAAAATTTTGTATTAAAACCACAAAACGATATTTTTTGTAAAACAAAAATAGAATTTGAAAACAATATCTTTTGTAAGACGGAAAGAGTAACTTTAAAATTTAATATTCCGATTTCAATTTATAACTTATAACTATATATATATATATGTGTGATGACTCAATCACTACCGTCACCATGAAAAACACTATAATGAGAGAACTAACAAAAAGTAACACTGAAAATCAAAATCACCAAAAAAAATCTAGTTTGAACCATGACTCGAACCTGCATGGTCATAGACAATAATAGTATCAGAGAAGGTTCCATTGGTTAATGTTAAGTTGTGTTGAGCCAGAGGGAAAAAAAAAAATAGTATAATCACCGACTAGAGTCGACCATGTGTGAACAAAAGAGCTTTAAGGAGTGTGAAACACAATAATGAGCCGAATTAATTGAGATTCAAATATTCTAATCATCATCATCATCATCCTTAGTTTTTTTTCATATTTTACATCGATAATACCCTACAATAGTTTATCCAATTATATATATTTTCAGTTAACATAATTATATATTTACTATCTATCTCAGAAAAATAAACTAAACGAATCATTACTTTCATACGGTGATTCCATGCAATAATTATGTAATTCTAATTTCAATTAACTTTCATTATTATTGGCCAGCTAAAAAGAAACGAATCATTCATTACTCTTTTAACGCGTTGACAGAAACTGATGCGAAGAATTAGAGAAGACTCTAAATGACTCAGAAGGTTCTCGAGCCAATCTTTGAAAAAAACAACAAACATAAATTTTTCTTATTTGATCCAATCTTAGATTCATGGTTGGTAAGAATCAATCAATTTGGGAGTTGGGAGTAGTAAAAATACTTCAACTTGCATTAAACTTTGCATTGAATCTGATTTGCAGAAAAAGGAGATCTCTTTTTCTCCAGAACAAAGTTTTTCTCTATGTAAAATTTGTCTGATCGGTTCAAAGAGAGGATTTTTCGGAGATGGGTTTGTTGGAATCGGTGAAATCAATCAACTGGGAACATGAATCATCTCCGGTTTATCAGGATTTTCGAGTTCTTCCTCTCTTTGCAGTATTCTTCCCTACTATTCGATTTCTCCTCGATAGATTCGTCTTCGAGGTAATATGAGTTCTGTGATAGTGTCTCCTAAAGCTGTTAAATTTATAGATATCTTCGCAGTAGTGTTGCTTAATGATTGTTTTGTTTCATCAATGCCTTATTTTAATTGTTGCTTCAGGTAAAAGTATAGAAAAGCTTCTATAAGAAGAATGATTGTAGCTGAAAAGTATCTATTTTTGATAAGTGTGAAGAATGATTTAAACCTTTTCTTCTACTTTTGACAAATGTTAGTGTATGTGAGAATGAATGTTGTTTGACACTTGATTGAGTTGTATTCTTTTCAATTTTACACATTTGTGGTAGTGAGTACTTGACATTTGTTTAGCGCTAGTTCTTTCTCTTGTTCCTCATCATTCATGTGTGTGCCTTTGGTTACTTACAAGTAGGGTTTGTTGAAAGCTCTTTTTTTTTGGGGTCAAGTCACTTTCTTTCTAACTTTGACTTGATGATTGGTTCTTTGTAGAAATTGGCAAAACATTTGATATATGGAAAACATAGGCAGGATATGGGAGATGACACAACCGAGAGAAATAAGAAGATCAGGAAATTCAAAGAATCTGCCTGGAAGTGTGTTTACTATCTATCAGCTGAGATTCTTGCTTTATCTGTTACTTACAATGAGCCTTGGTTTATGAACACTAAATACTTTTGGGTAGGCCCTGGTGATCAGACTTGGCCTGATCAACAAACAAAGTATGAATGTTGCTCAAGGCTTTAATTTTATATCACAACTCTCGATTTTGTGCTTGCTTTGGACATAATATACATTTGTCATGCAGGTTAAAGTTGAAGCTTTTGTATATGTTTGTGGCTGGTTTCTATACATACTCCATCTTTGCTCTGATTTTCTGGGAAACGAGGCGTTCTGATTTTGGAGTTTCAATGGGTCATCATATTGCCACTCTTATTCTTATAGTTCTCTCATACGTATGTAGGTATGCTTCCATCGTCACATCCTATTCTATATTGAGAAAACAGAACTGATTCCTTTGCTCCACATTGTTTTGATCTTCTTGTTTCTTCTTCTCTTTATTGGTGTAGCTTCTCCCGTGTTGGTTCTGTTGTTCTGGCTCTTCATGATGCTAGTGATGTGTTTCTTGAAGTTGGGAAAATGTCTAAATATAGTGGAGCTGAAAGAATCGCAAGCTTTTCATTCATTCTTTTCGTTATGTCTTGGATCATTCTCCGCCTCATTTACTATCCCTTTTGGATCCTATGGAGCACAAGGTTTAATATAATATATTAAGATCATTTTTATAGTTTTTTCTCGATATATTTGTGGCCTTACATATATTATTACATTGCTTGTTGCAGCTATGAAGTAGTTTTGGAGCTGGATAAAGACAAGCACCCAATCGAAGGACCAATTTACTACTACATGTTTAACACTCTCCTATATTGCTTGCTTGTTCTTCACATTTACTGGTGGGTTTTGATGTATCGGATGCTTGTGAAACAAATACAAGATAGAGGCAAGCTTAGTGAAGATGTCAGATCCGGTAAGTCTAGTTTATTATATGATAAAAATCGGTTTTGGCACCATCCAAATGAAAGAAGAGATCTTCAAGTTTGAGTCTTTTCTCAGATTCTGAAGGCGAAGATGAGCACGAAGACTGATTGATCACAAAGGTAGAAGAAACTTTCGTCTGGTTAAATATGAAATGTAAAAGCACGGTGTTCTCTCTTAACATTATCGCAGATTCTTTTGTTCTGTCTCTGTGATTCTGATCGCTAATTGGTGTTTAAGAGTGGAGACTGAGTATTCAATCTCCAACATTGGACCAACTCATGGAACAGAACTGATTAAGGAGACCTGAAATTGTAGTTGTATTGAATTGTAGTCTGAACAAATTCCATATCTTCTTGTATTGTATTCATTTCTTGTTTAGGATCACTCACCAATTCATGATATATACAAATGTTGTATTCATATTTGTTTAGGATCACTCACCAATTCATGATATATACAAATGTTATCATTGGCCTCATACATTGCCATTTCCTTTTGACGTGTCTAACTGTATAATTTTTATTTAAGTAAAGCACTAATGCTATGAAATACTATATAATATAATGTAACTGTAACGCGAGATTATGAAATAGACTTTTGGCCAAACGCTAACTATAATTGCAAAAGTAAGAAAATCTAGTAAAAGAGATGATGAGAGCAAAATCTGCGATCTTCTGCTATTTCCCCATTTGAAACTTCACCGATCAAGCCGGTCACTGCTCCAGCGAACCGGAACAAGGAGACAAAAAGGTTGAGTCTTTTTCTCTAATTCTTTCTGGGTAATTCAAATTTCGAGTTTTTGTTTTGTTGCATTGCAAATTGCAAATCGCAATCTCTGTCTCTCTCTCTCTCTTTGGTGGACAAAAAGGTGGAGCTTTTATCAATCTTATTCAGAGTGGTGATTAGGGTTCTAAGGTTTTGAAGGGGTTTCTGGGGATTGAATTTGATTAGGGTGAAATTCATCAATTTTTCTGGGTTTGATTGAAGTCAAATGCAACAACTTTATTTTCTGTTTGCATGTTAATGAGCATTGATGTGATTTTGATTATGTGTTAAAATGTTTGTAGATGGGTGAATCTCCAGATTTCATAAGCGATCTTCCTCAAAGCATTATTGAGAATATACTTACTCGGCTTTCGATTAGAGATGCAATAAGAACAAGTGTGTTATCTAGCAAATGGAGATATAAATGGTCTACACTCACTGATCTTGTGTTTGATGAGAAATGTGTTTCTCCTGCTAATGACCGTTGCGTTGTTGAGACTAGTCTTGTGAGATTTATTACTGGAGTGCTTCTCCTTCACCAAGGACCTATCCATAAGTTTCAGCTCTCTACTTCTTTCTTACAATGTCGTCCCGATATTGATCAGTGGTTGCTTTTTCTTTCGAGGAATGGGATTAAGGAGCTTGTTCTTGAGTTAGGAGAAGGAGAATTCAGGGTTCCTTCATGTCTCTTTAACTGTTTGAAACTGACCCGTTTGGAGTTATGTCATTGTGAGTTTGATCCGCCTCAGTATTTCAAAGGGTTTTCGTCTCTGAAGAGTTTAAACCTTCACCAGATCCTTGTTGCTCCTGAGGTGATTGAAAGTCTGATCTCAGGGTGTCCGCTTCTCGAGTTCCTGTCTTTGTCTTACTTTGACAGTTTGGTTTTGAGTATATCAGCTCCGAATCTCATGTACTTGTACCTAGACGGCGAATTCAAAGACATTTTCCTCGAGAATACTCCCAAGCTAGTTGCAATATCAGTTTCAATGTACATGCATGAGGATGTTACTGATTTTGAGCAGAGTTCGGATTATAATCTAGTTAAGTTCCTTGGCGGTGTGCCCCTTCTTGAGAAGCTCGTTGGTTATATCTACTTCACAAAGGTAATTTTGCTTCATTCTAAATACTTTTGAGCAATTATCGTTAATGAAAAAGTTATATATCTCTTTTATTTGATCTCAGTACTTGAGTATAGGAGATGACCCGGGAAGGCTTCCAATTACTTACATTCATCTTAAAACTATAGAACTTTACCAAGTAAGCTTTGAAGATGCTAATGAGATACTAGTTCTTCTTCGTTTGGTCACTCACTCTCCCAACCTTAAAGAGCTCAAAGTTTCGGTATGTTAACTCATCTTTTTTAAAGTTCGTAATTTGACAATAAAATTCGTAATCTGTTTTTGGATTTTCTAGGCTTCACCAATCCAACTATTTCCTCTTGAAGAAGAAGGTTTTGACCTTTTCGAAAGAGACTACTTCGACTACAAACTCCCGAGCCTTGAAACTGTGAAGATGACAGACGTATCTGGCATCAGAAATGAGTTGGAGTTTATCAGATTCTTGCTGGGAACTTCTCCAGTTTTGGAGACAGTCGTTGTATCATCGAGTTTAATAGATAAAGAAGCGAAAATGGATATGGTAATCGAATTGCTCAGGTATCCGCGTGTTTCTCCTCGAGCTCAGTTCCTCTTCCTTCAAGACTGAAATCTGACTCCCCTTCTCCATCTCTCTCCCTCCCTCTGTGTTATCATATCATGACTGAACATGTTTTGATGCGAATCTGTTAAAAGGAAATATGTAATTGTGGAAAGATGACAGAACTGTTGAATCCGCAATAGTAAAGTTTAATGTCGTTGACCAAAGATGGTAAAAAAGAGTTTACTACTTGTAATGTCAATTTCAGACTCAAAATTAGACGATTTGTAGAAAGAATCAAAGAAAGATATTTGTTTTGTAGAAATTGAAATAATAATGAGTATATAGTTTTGGAAAATAATCAAAAAAAGAAAAAAGGAGATATCGTTTACACGTGTGGGAAACGCGGAAGAAACGCAAAGCAGTCGAGTCTCTCTCCTTTTGCTTCTGGTCCTCTCGTCTCGTTTCGCCGCTCTATAGGGCAAGAGAGAGATCGCTGTCTCTTTGTTCTCTCTTTTTCAGACACTCGAGACGAGAAAGGCTCGTATCTGATTTTACCGCCAAGAACCACCGGATTATCGTAAGTACTCGTCTCTTGATCCAATTTGTAGCAAAAGATCCAAACTTCAGATACTACCCAAATCTCGAAAGTCACTGTCTCAGTTCGAGCAAAGTTTTGTGTTTTTTTTGTTGACGGGTTATGCTCATTTTCTTGATTAAGCATTAGGGAATCTGGAAAGTGCCCTCAAGATCCATGCTTTAATGTCATTGTGGAATTAGAATTGATTGTTGTTTTTGAATCAGTGATAGAGAAGAATGGGTTACATAGGAGCTCATGGTGTAGCAGCTCTTCATAGGTACAAATACAGTGGAGTGGATCACTCTTATCTTGCCAAATACGTGCTCCAACCTTTTTGGACTCGATTTGTCAAAGTCTTCCCTCTATGGATGCCGTAAGTGCTTCTCTTTCATACTATTTCGTTGCATGTATTATAACTTTTACTTGCTGAGGCTAATCAGACTGATGTTTTTTTTTTACTCTGCTTGTCTTTTCATGTGCGTTTTTCTCTTTGGACCATTCCAGACCAAACATGGTATAAGTGATTCCTGTTTGTTATTTTGCTGTATGTGGTATCGTCTTTACGTTTGAGTTAAAAACTTCTGGCTTTGTGTGTTTTTGTTTCGCAGATAACGCTTATGGGGTTTATGTTTCTTGTCACTTCTTCCCTGCTAGGTTATGTGAGTCTTGATTCTTTGATGTCTTGTTCTTTAGTTTCTTGAAGCACTTGGTTACTTTCTTGATGGTAAATATGCCTGCTTTCTGCATATGGATTTGATTTTGAAGACATTTTTCTTTACTTGTCTCAGATATATTCACCTCAGTTGGATTCTCCTCCTCCACGATGGGTTCACTTCGCACATGGTTTACTTCTCTTCTTGTATCAGGTTTACTTCTTCTTCAAAAGTTTAACTTCCTTTTATATCTGCATGTGAAGGTGTTTTAAGTCTTTTTTTTCCTGATACCTTTTGAGCTTTTATCAGACATTCGATGCGGTCGATGGGAAGCAAGCAAGAAGGACAAATTCCTCTAGCCCCCTGGGAGAGCTTTTCGATCATGGTGATTTATTTTTCCTATGTTCCTCCTTTGATAATTTGTTTTCAGTTTGTTTATAGATTTTTCTGACATGTGTTCCAATGTTGCAGGTTGTGACGCACTTGCTTGTGCGGTATGCAGTTAATGTTCCTGCTATCTTTTTTTCCATTATTTACTCATCCTGGAATCGATTCTGAAGGTTTTACATAAAAACAGTTTGAAGCCATGGCATTTGGAAGCACTGCAATGTGTGGAAGAGATACTTTCTGGTTCTGGGTTATTTCAGCTATTCCATTTTATGGAGCTACATGGGAACAGTAAGTACTGCTTCCAGCTTCCTGCTTATGTCTCTTAAAACATCAATATTTGTTAAATTGTTTTAGCGATTTTCTTATACTTTTCCTTACCTTTCTCTAGCTATTTCACCAACACACTTATTCTTCCGGTTATCAATGGGCCTACTGAGGGTCTTGCTCTTATATTTGTCAGTCACTTCTTCACAGCCATTGTTGGTATGCTTCTAGCTTCTCTGCAATCCTTTAAAACTTCACTCCTATTTAAAGTGCTTGGACAATCTTTCTATACTTGGGTTTGGTCTTTACTTCAACTCGATCTTTCTCTTCTTTTTTTCTGTGTAAAGGTGCTGAATGGTGGGCTCAGCAGTTGGGGCAGTCAATACCATTGTTTAGTTGGGTGCCATTTGTGAATGGTAAAAAGATCTCCGGCATCCTTTTCCTCCAATTTTCCTTGCAGCGTTACTTTCTTGATTGAATTTTTAAAGTTTGTTTTTTGGGCTATTCATTGTTCTCTGTTTTAGAGATCCAAACTTCCAGAGCAGTGCTATACATGATGATCGCTTTTGCTGTTATACCAACCGTTGCATTCAAGTGAGTCTATCAAACTTAGACAACCTAATGTGTTTATTTTTGAGTGATCAACTAAGAGTCTTTTCAAGTTGTAAAGTTTGTGTTTTCTAAGCGGGTTCGTACACCGTTGTATTTTGCAGTGTGTCAAATGTCTACAAAGTCGTTCAATCAAGAAAAGGGAGCATGGTGTTAGCACTAGCTATGGTAATCTCCTAACTACTAATTGATTCACAAATAGTCAACTATGCTGCAAAATTAATGTTCTGTTCAAATCTTGTTTTCAGCTGTATCCCTTTGTTGTCCTACTTGGAGGAGTTTTGATATGGTAAAGTCTTGTTTTATTCTCTTTTGAAAAGACCACGTTATCTTACTCTCTCCTTCATCGTTAAAGATTATTTGGATCCTCTTTTTTACAGGGATTACTTGTCTCCAATCAATCTCATAGCAACATACCCTCACTTAGTTGTACTCGGAACTGGACTTGCATTTGGTTTTCTAGTGGTATGTCTTGATTCAAAAATCTTAAGTTAGATCAATAGCACGATTACTCCGAAAAAAGTTGTAATAGAACAAAGTTTCTATGTTTTCTTTTTCGCAGGGAAGAATGATTCTTGCTCACTTGTGTGATGAGCCTAAAGGACTAAAAACAAACATGTGCATGGTAAATCCGATAACTTTTCTCTTGCCAATTTCTCCATCTTAGTGGTTTTGAAATTGTAGCCTTATGAAATCTTTTTACTCAAAATGCAGTCGCTACTCTATCTTCCCTTTGCGCTCGCAAATGCGCTAACCGCGAGATTGAATGCTGGGTATGTTTTTTCTCTCTTTACATTTTCCTCGAAAACTTCATTGGTTTTTTTTGTCTTTAACACCGGAGAAACTTCATATCCCAGGGTTCCTCTAGTCGACGAATTATGGGTTCTTCTTGGCTACTGCATATTCACAGGTTTGCTCCTAAAGAGAAAAGCCTCTTATTTAGCTGTTGATTTTTCTTTTTTCACTATTTAGTTATTTTGCCCGTTCTAAACCAATTGTTTTGATGCAAAACAGTGTCATTATACTTGCACTTTGCAACATCGGTCATCCATGAGATCACTGAGGCTCTTGGAATCTACTGCTTCAGGTGAAAATTCGATATAAAAAGGTCAATATTCTTCCTTTCAAAACATAATGAATTAATGTATCTGCCTCTGGTTTTTTCTTGCTAATCAACAGGATCACGCGTAAAGAAGCTTGAAAAGAAACCTTTAAGGGTAATGTTTTTTTGTGTGTGGATCGTTGGATTGACACAGCGAATGGTCGATATGGACCTGTTGGATCGGTGATGTATTTCTTCTTATTATTCATTGTTGTCTGTTTGGTCAGGATAGGTGAATTATGTAGAACTTTGTGTAATGTTCTTGTTTTGGATTTATCCATGGGAATTATTCTTGAAATAAGGAGCACTTGAAAATTGCTTGGCTGGATTTGGTTTTGCAAGCATTTGAGGAATTGGTTGACTTTTGACTTTTTGTAATACGACCATACCAAGGAGTTCTATACATCGAGTTCCTATGTCCTAACATCATACAAAAACATTACTTAGGAAAAGACTTAAATAAAAGTCAACCATTTGAATTGAAGAGAATGGATGAGAGTTTGGTGTTGTTGACATATGAGTTTCGACTTGCTCATAAGTTGAGGAGTGAGGACTATCCAATATTGAATTGAGAGCTTCTCTCTTTTCTGCTCATGTTTTATCTTCTGCTCTTGCATTGAATTGATGTAAACTCTGTTTCATTTGAAAATAATAATGTCATCTTTCTTACACAAAAAAAAAAAAGGGTCTAATAAAAAAGTGGACTTTGACTCAAGGAATGTGAAAAACAAAAAGCAAAATTCGCCGGAAATAACAAAAGAAAAGCACACAGCTTTTGGTCCTAATTCTTCTTGGCTACTCAATGAACATCCATTGGATTGAGCCGCTAGTGAGATTTTAGTGTTTTTTTCCTTGTAGGGATTTAAAAGTCTGGTCTTGTAAGATTCTTGTTGCTTCTCTGCCGCAACGAGACACTGCCTTTTGCTATTCCTTATGTCAATTTCTTGAAGGTTTGAGTTACTTGACTTGTGAAAACTTTTAATTTGGGAGATGATGCTCTTTGCTTGAACCGGTACTAAGAATACTTGACTGCTGAATTTTTTTTGGTTTGAGTGATGATGCAAAAGGTGTGGACAGAATCTTCATGATGCAGAGTGGTATCATGATATACAGAGAGGCGAAGACTTTGTTTATACTATTTTATAGACACTTGATGAGAGCTGACATTAGGGTAGGCCAAGATCTTTATGGAGATCAAGTCAAGTTTCCTTGAAGTTTCCTAAGTCACCTTGTCAGTTGCTCTTCTACAGAGTTGTTTAGTCTATAATATAGGATCAAGTTTCTCTCCAAGTCCCAAACTCGATTTAGTGAAAATGTACATCACAAGGCGTTTGTCAGAGTATCGGAGGAATCCAGCAGAGCTAACACAGCCTCCTCCTGAGGGTCCCAACTCTGGAATTTTGGTAATCCAAGACCAAGACTCACAGACACGGGTTACATGTTGCTTCAGCTCGTGGTTGGTGGTGGATTCTTCTCTAAGTGGTTTGCCATTGCCGCAAAATCTTAAGCTAGCAGTCACATTCAATATCGGAGGAGATGACAGTACTCGTGACCCAGTTGTGTTCATTCCTGTTCTTGATAAGCCTCTATCTTCAAACTGTTATTACGCTATTAAACGACATGGGAAACATTCAGGGTATGAATTTGAATCCGCAAAATCTGAAATTCTAGAATCTTTCTTCTTATATAACCTTAAAAGTTTGTAAAATTTTGGTTGCATTGCAGAGAAGCGTCTGGTAGTGCCAAGGAGGAAGATAAAGTCTCCTGCTGCTTTTGTATTAGGCAAGTTGCTGAAGCTAAACCAAAACAGCTAGATCCTTTTGACATATACCAACAATTTGAGATCCATCAAAAGAAGCCATCCTCGCGTTGTTACTACGCAACATCTGTCGCTCCTGACGGGGTCCCACCATGGTTTCTCAAGAGAAAGGAGTGGACGGTTGAATGCTTGAGGTCCCAAGACTTTGAACTGAGAGATGATGCAAAAGGACTCAACACAGAGCTTCGTGCCAAGCTTCCCGGTCTTGGTATGAGCACAGTGGTTGGGAAGTGGTATGTCCCTTTCATATTCGTGAAAGAAAGAGACGCAAAGGATCAGGTCAAGAATTCGGTGTATTACAGCATGACTCTCGAACAAAATTGGAAAGAGGTTTTCTCTTATGAGAACGATAAAAGCGAAAACCGTGATGTTGTAGTTGATGTAGAAATAGAAACAGAAGTTGTTAAGCTTGAGGGACAAGAGATTGCAAGAGGTGTTGAAGCAAATGGGTTTGTCTGGTTTGGGGTTGGAGAAAAAAAGATCGGTTTAGGATCGGTTGTTGTTGAGAGGATGAAATGGGAAGAAGAGAGATTCGGGTGGACATGCAAAGGCGACAAGGAGCGATCAATGACAGTTAAGAGATTGGAGAAATCAGCAGATGGTAGCCTTTGGAAGCGTTATCATTGTTATGTTCTGATAGAGAGCTTTGTCTTGAAGAGAATGGATAAGAGTTTGGTCTTAACATATGAGTTTACACATGTAGATAAGCTCAAAACCAAATGGGATTAAGCTTATCACGCAACGAATCTGCAAAAGCTTTCTCAATCTCGATGACATGAATCCATTGGTCAGTGTGATTTATCTATAGCCAATTTTAAATTCGGTTTTTCTGTGTATTCTGTTTTGATAATATCTTCAACCTTTTTGGGTGAAGAAAGAATAAAATATTGAGTTTGTTTGTCTTCTTACTTGTTAGTACTCATCCACAGGAGATTCTGACAAATGTTTAAGTCAAACTTCAGATTATATTTATAAACAATAGCTTAGTAAACTTCCTTGCACGTTCTTATGATCTTTTGTTTTATATAAACTATGAAAGGTTAGATCTTAAGTAACAAAGAATCAAGGAGAGATGTATGTAACGAAGCGTTTGTCCGAATACCAGAGAAACCCGTCGGAGCTTACTTTACTTCCAACGGAAGGTCCAAACTCCGGCGTATTGGTGATTCAAGACCAAGAATCACAGCCTACATGCTGTTTTGGTAAATGCTTTGGTTGTGATCTAAATGGTTTGCCGTTTCCTCAGAACACAAGAGTCACCGTTAAATACCAAATCGGACGTTAGTTACTTTTCATTTAACTCCTAACTCTCTGTCAATCATCTTACTTTACTCTCTGTTTCTGTTTCATCTCTGTTAATTATCTAAGCTTTGATTTCATGATAGACGGAGATGACAGAATTGTCTTGCTTGACTCGGTTGCGTTCATCCCTGTCCTTCATCAGCCTCCTTCTTCCAATCTTTACTACGTTATAAGGCGAAGAGGGAAACACGCAGGGTATGATTCTATTGGATATTTGTGCAAGTTTAAAAGCTTGAATCTTTCTTATGTTTTATAGATATCTATCACTTTAGTTTAAATTAAGCCAATATTAAAAGTTTAGCGGCCTAAAGTCAAAGAAACTTAAATCCTTACATATTTTTACTCTTTGATTGGTATTGCAGGGAAGCATGTGTTAGTGCAAAAGAAGGGGACAGAGTTTCTTGTTGCCTTTGTTTTACTTATGTCTCTAATGCTACGCCAAGACCTCTTGATCCTTTCGACATATACCAACAATTTGAGATACATCAAAGAGGATCATCAACGCGTAAGTTTTTCGCTACATCAGTTGCTTCAGATGGAATACCACCTCGGTTCCTGAGGAGAAAAGGTTGGACGGTTCCTTTCTCTGCTTCCCAAGACTATGGTTTGATTGATGATGCAAAGGGTGTAGTTGACGCAAAGCTGCGCTATGAGCTTCCTGATTTCTATAAGAGCGTTGTAGTTGGGAAATGGTATGTCCCGTTCTTGTTTGTAAAGGAAGGAGATGCTAAAGATCAGATGAAGAAATCGATGTATTACAGCATGACACTTCACCAAAGATTTGAAGAGGTTTTCTTCTGTGAAAACGTTGACAACGATAAAAATTGCGAGGTTGTAGTTGATGTGGAGGTAGAAACAGAAGTGGTTAAGCTTGAAGGAGACAAGATTGCAAGAGCGACAAAAGGTGTGAACTCAGATGGAGTTGTGTGGTTTAGTGTCTCAGGGGCTGAGAAGATTGGTCTTGGGTCTGTGGTCTTAGAGAGGATGAAATGGGAAGAGGAGAGGTTTGGGTGGTTAAACAAAGGCGATGAACTAAGGTCTAGCATTAAGAGAATTGAGAAATTTGAAGGCGGTGGACCACATTGGAAGAGTTATAGATGCTTTGTACTGGTAGAGACCTTTGAATTGAAGAGAACTGATGGGAGTTTGGTATTGACGTATGAGTTTAGACATGTTGATAAGTTGAAGAGTAAATGGGATTGAGTTTATTTCAGCTTCTTATTGTGTGTTACGTGTGCAACTTATGGTGTGTTCATTTTAATGAAAGGTTTATGCAAGTTCATGTGTTATAATTCGAAGCTTTCATACATATCTGTAAACTCTGTATAATGAATGAATCAAGAACTGGTGTTATGCTCAAAATGCTGAACTTTTTTTTCGCCTATCACTCGGTGTTATGTTTCTGAAGCTAACTTGCACAAAAGGGTGTATACCCAAAAAGGAAAAGAACCTCAAAAGTTTTGTAATAATGTTGCAGAAAAGCATTAGCTAGTGCCAAAGAGGAAGACAGAGTCCCCTGTTTCTTTTGTTGCAGTTTTCTTCCTGAAGCTAAGTCAAAAGAAGCAGATCCTTATGGTTAGGTCAATGATCATATAAAGAAAAATCTAGAATTTGTTTGATTGATTCTCCATGATAGGTTTGTGAAACCAAGTCAAGGTCATAACTTTGGAATTCTAAAGTTGAATTGAATTGAACCATAAAGTACAAATCTTTGAAAAGTCTTTAAACGATAACTTGTAAAATTTGCTTACGGCGTTATCCTCAATACATGGTACACTATATAAACATATCACATCTCTTCTAATCAAAAAACAGAATTCAAGATGTATGTTACAAGGCATCTCTCGGAATACCAGAGAAACTCGTCGGACTTGACACGATCATTGCCGGAAGGTCCAAACTCCGGAGTACTTGTGATTCAAGACGAAGACTCAAAGCCCACTTGTTGCTTTGGAACTTGCTACGATGGTGAACTCAAAGGATTACCATTCCCACAAAACGCAAAGCTGACTGTGACTTACAGAACCGGAACTGGTAACGACAGGCGCAGTTACCATGACCCGGTCCTGTTCATTCCGGTTCTTGATCAGCCTTATTATTCGAACCGTTATTATGTCATTAAACGACGTGGGAAGCAATCAGGGTATGACCAAATATCTTATAACTTTTTTCATTTATCTGTTATTTTGAGGTTTTTAATCATTTCATGTCATGCATGGTTTTCTTGGGATGGTTTTGGTTTGACCGGATTGGCAGACCTAACTTGCACAAAGGGTATTCATAAAAAAACCTAATTTTGGATTGCAGAGGAGCTTCAGCGAGTGCAAAAGAAGAAGACAGAGTCCCCTGCTGCTTTTGCTTCAGCTATGTTCCTGAAGTTAAACCACAAGAAGCAGATCCTTATGACATTTATCAGCAATTCCAGATCCATCAAAAACAATCATCATCTCGCTATTACACTGCCACTTCTGTTGCTCCTGATGGGATACCACCAGAGTTCCTTAAGAGAAAGTATTGGACTGTTGGGTATTCGAATTCCCAAGACTTTGGTTTGATAGATGATGCAAAAGGGATCAACACTAAGCTTCGTTCCGAGCTTCCCAACGATGTGAATACAAGTGTTGTGGTAGGGAAATGGTATGTTCCTTTCATATTTGTAAAAGAAAGAGAAGCAAAAGATCAGATTAAGATCTCAGCTTATTACAGCATGACGCTTAAACAAAGATGGGAAGAGGTTTACTCATGCGAAAACGTTAATAACAACGAAAAAGGAGGAGAGGTTGTACTTGATGTTGACGTAGAAACAGAAGTGGTGAAGCTTGAGGGACAAGAAACTATTTCTAGAAAGGCAAGTACTGGTGGATTTGTTTGGTTTAGTGTTTTAAGGGATGAGAGACAAGACCAGAAGATAGGTCTTGGGTCTGTGGTCGTGGAGAGGATGAAATGGGAAGAGGGAAGGTTTGGGTGGTTAAACAAAGGCGAAAGATCTAACATTAAGAGATCAGAGGGATTCGAAGGTAGTTCAACGCATTGGAAGAGTTATCGATGTTATGTATTGATAGAGAGCTACGAATTGAAGAGAATGGATGGGAGTTTGGTGTTGACATATGAGTTTAGGCATGTTGATAAGTTAAAGAGCAAGTGGGATTGAGTTTCATTTATCTTTGTTCAGTTTCTGTGTGTCATCTTTTGGTTCAATAATTAATTTGGTGGATAAGTTTTATGCAAGTTCATGTAATAAGAATAGACATAATTAATTTCATAAAATTAAAAAATTGTTTTAAAGTCGCATGTATAATAAAATAAAAATTTACCAAAAAAAATAATAGACATAAAGTCGCATTTAATGTAATGTATAGTATGAAATCTAAGTTTGGTTGCTTCATGCTTGATACTCTTCATGATCGATTTGTTGACCTCTTCAAAGCAACGATCATAAGTTTGGGAATCAATTAAAACCTAAATCCTATAACAAAGTTTTGTAAACAATGCGACTATAAAACCGGTCCAAAAACTTGTTAAAGAAGTTAATAAATTGTCGCATACTCTGCATTACAGATTCTTGCATAAAGTCAAATCAAAGGCAAAGATGTTGATCCTCAAAATCACACAAGTACGAATTCGGAGTCTTAAGGGTGAAAGAAGAATCTCTTATTTAATGACGAGCCGACGATTACAAAAATGGACGAGCTAAAAACCGAGTATACGAGCCGAGCCGCAAAATACTCTAACGGTTGTACGAAATTCTCTGTGAAAGCGGTTATCTCGGGATCCCTTTACAATCATTCTTTTTTGCTATTTATAGGATGCAGGAGTGGGGTACACTATGCGTGCGAAATGTCCTTTTTACCCCTTTGGTCGGTGTAGAATCGAGTTGGGCCTTTCCTGGGCTTCTGCTGGGCCGCAGGGAAATATGGGCCTGCTTGAAGGGTTAGGCCTGTTAAGGGGTTTGGGCTCGAGCCCGAAGCCCACCATCAACAGTAGCCCCCCAACCCTAGTGCGTAGTGATGACGCGGCTAGGGTTGCAATCATTTCGCCGTTCTCGCTTCGACTTCCTTCGCGTGTTCTCGAGGCGCGTGTGATGGACGCTCTCTTCTGATTCGTTTGCTGCCGCTCCCGAGGCATTGGAAAACGGGTCGTTCGCGTGTTGCGGACGACGAAGATGTGATGATTACGCCGTTCTTCGAGACGCAATGATAACGCGGTTTTTCTTCGACCGACTCCCTCTATAAATACTTCGCTTCCTCCTCATTCCTTTCATTCTTTCTCCGCATCGATTTCGAAGGTATTCTCTCTGTTCTCTCTCCTTTTCTCAGCGCGTCTTTTCTTATTTTCCGATTATGTCTTCAAGTGTCGGTTCTTTCGACTCCGTCTCCGACCATCGCCGATCTCGTACTTCCGACGAGTCGAATATCCGGTCTGTTGACCATTTTCTCAACGAATCGATCAGCAACTCCCGGGGTCGTAGATCTAGAACCTCTTCCAGATCATCGGCCTCGTCCGTCGCCAGAGACTCTCCGGTTGTTGCAGAGCTACGACGTCGCGAGCTCGAAAGTTGCGTGGGAGCAGCCGGACCGAGTGCAAATCCTAAGTCCGTTACAACCATGTGCCTTCGCGATGATGACGGCGACGCGGCGTCTACAGATGAGGATAACGTGCCGCTCATCAGACGCAAATCTTCTAACATTAGAGCGGCTCGTTCTGTTGGCCCGTCGTCTGATGCCGCCGATCGCTTGGACATCATTCCATTGGCGAGGCGGGCGCCCGCCCCGGTTGGGTTTGTTCAGCCCGTCGGACCAGCACCGGGAATTCCGGATTACCTTCAACCGACGTCGTCGACTAGCGAGACGATTGAGCTTTCTCTCCATTTTTGCGATGCTCCAGCTTCTCTAAATACGCTCATCCCAAACCCGTGGGATCGTCCCTGGACTGCTCCGCCTGGATATCTTTGCGTATACGAAAAGCTCATTACTGACTGCGGGCTGACTTTCCCAATTCCGGCGTTCTTGCTTCAGTACGCTTCGCGGCGAAAAATGGCGTTTTCGCAACTTTCTCCGGCTGCTATCCGGAATGCTTACGGCCTGATTCGTTTGGCCGAGCAGTGCGACGTCGAACCTCGTTGTTCTCTGTACGAGGAACTGACGACGAAGAAGAATTTCGGGAAATCCAAGCCGGGCTTGGTGTATACTCAGTCCTCGCTGACCCCAAAGTTGGTTGTTGGTGCGAAGAGTAAGACCAACGATTGGCTTCGTTGGTACTTCTTTGTTAAGATTGACAACGATTCCGCTGGGGACGTGGTCGTCACGAATTACCATGGGTGGACTATTTCACCCGGTAGTTTGCTTATCCCTCCGAGGTCGATCCCTTGTTAATTGATTATCTATCTGACTTGTTTTTCTCGTTTCTTTTCCTCTTGTAGTTCTTTGTCCCAAGATCTTGGACCCATATCCTGAGAAACTTCGTGACGACGTTAAGAAGATTCTAGCTTTGTGCCCGTATACCTGGCCCAACGAAGAAGACCCTGTTCGTCGTCCTTCCTCAAAATCTAAGAAAACGAGCCGAAGAAGAGGTCCTTCGAAAGCAAGGAAGGCTAACAAGACTCCAGGTCGGCCTCGACCTTTCCCTTCTTCCCTTATTCGCTCGATGAGTGCGTACGATTTTTCTTACATTCTTCTCTCCCTTTTCTTTTACATACCAGCTCCTTCAAAGATTATGGGGAAAATGAATGTTGACGCGGTGGGTGATTACTCATCACGATACAAGAAGAAGTCGTCGGTGACGCCGTCGAAGAGGATGAGCCGGGAGGAAGACGAGGCCATGGCCTTAGGGAAACGTCTTTCCTTAGCCGAACACGAGGCTAAGGAGAGCGAGCGACGATCTTCAGGTCGTCGGGATAGGAGAGATGAGGGTGACCGTCGTGATCGACGCGGTCATGATGTTGTCGGTGCCGATCGTTCGGGAGCAAGATCCGACGTGGAGAGGGAGAGGAGGGAGAAGGAGGTGGCTGAAGCGCGGTCAGCTAAGCTACCTATTGCCGAGACTTCTCACGATGTGCCCCTAGGCGGTAGGGAGGTTATTTTGTATGACAACTCTCAGGTTGAGCCGACCAAGAAGCGGGCTGCTGATGAGTCCGAACCGGTGCGTTCGGACCCGACCAAGAGACAAAGGACGGCCTGGGCCCCTGATTATAGGTGGCGATATGATTATAACGGGCGCGACGTCCATATCTCGACTGATTCCACATCCTGTGCGGAGCTGTTCCGCAAACTTCACGTTGGCCCATCTCCCTTCTTCGAGCTTCAAGATATGTGGGAGAGAACGGCGTTCACTGACGCTGCGAAGAAGACCGTTGCGGTAATGCCCTAAGAACTTTTCGTAATACATTAAGTGTTTTGCTCTCTAACCCAGTTTCTACTTCTTTCTGTAGGCCATCAGCGCGATTGACAGGATGGCGTACATGTACGAGCGTCGTCTCCGCGTTGTTTCTGAGCAGAACACGGCCTCGAAGGATCACCAGAGGGCCTTGGCAGCCGAGACGAGGAGGGCTGATCAGGCGTCGAAGGGTTTGGATAGTGCCAACTCCGAGGTGCAGCTTCTTCGCGAGGAGGTCGCCAAACTGAAGGAGGAACGGGATAATGCTCTTTCAGAACGGGAGCGTTGTCTTGAGGAGTTGTCGAAGTCCCGTGTTGACTTTAAGAACTTGGCCGAGCAGTCACAAGCCGAGGAGGCAAGGCTTCGGAAGCGGCGCACCGAATACGCTCGTAAGGTTCTCAAGGAGGCTGCAGACCAATTTCAGCAACGTCTCGACGGGATTCAGAGGCATTTTACTACCAGGGACGCGGCGTATCCCAAGTTCCTCGATTATAATCAGGCGGTCGGGAGCGTTGACCTGCTGAAGGCGTTGGCTGAAACTGGGGAGGTCGTCTTGAACTCCAAGGACGTGATTGAGAGGCTTGAAGCTGATGCGGAAGAGCTTAAGAACGAGGTCAATGCGTTCGACATTGCCGAGCTGGAGGAAGGCTGGAATGACGTCGGAAATCTCTTCACGGGCTCTCTTGCTGCTGAGGAGTTTGCGCCTTCGGTTGAAGGTGTTGACGATGAAGTTGCTGGTGATGTCGAGGCCGTCGACCAAATCGTTGGTGATGGCGACGCCCAGATCGGAGATCCTCCTCAAGACGAGGCCGCGTCTTGAGTTTTTATGTTATTATTATTTTTTTTAAGTTATTTGCCGCGTAGTCGGCTTTTGTAAGACTCTTGCCACTTCTGTTGGCTTTTCCTTTGTTGAATATCTATTTCGTTTGTTATCTTTTTCGTATGCCGTCGAGATCGTTCCGCGCGGGTTATTGAGGACGACCTCAATAACTTGGTTGATAATCGTGTTTGGGTTGGATCCAAGACACTCGGTAGTACGACCTACGAGGTCGTACCGCGCAGGTTATTGAGGACGACCTCAATAACTTGGTCGATAATCGTGTTTGGGTCGGACCCAAGACATTCGGTGGTACGACCTACGAGGTCGTACCGCGCAGGTTATTGAGGACGACCTCAATAATTTGGTCGATAATCGTGTTTGGGTTGGACCCAGAACAATTTTAGGTGCGACCTCCGGGGTCGGCTTATCCTGTTCGAATGATTAAAACGAGCGTGATTGCGAGTTCGGCCTCGGCTTACGTGACCAGTCGTTTTAATCGTGCGAGTATGGAACTCGGCTTTCGTTCGATTAGACACCGGGCCAGGGTGCTAATGTATTTTGTTTCGTTTGTCTTTAAAAAGATAGATTTTATTAATATTTGCAGCTGTGCCTCGTAAACGAGGCTGCCTACGTACCCTCTGATCGGAGGGATCAAGCCGCTCGTAGTTCACATTACATAGTGAGGCATCGGTAAGGCCGAGCTCCCTTTTTTTTTTTTTTTTTTTTTTTTTTTTTTTTTTTTTTAATAATAGTATCGCTTCAGATGCATCGAATTCCATGTGCGGGGGACTTCGACGCCGGACATTGTGAGGAGTTCGTAGTCTCCGGGTCGGATGACCTTTGATATCTGATAGGGACCTTCCCAATTCGCGCCTAGCTTCCCGGCGTTGAGTTCGGCCGTGTTTTCGAACACTTTTCTGAGGACGAGGTCTCCTTCGCTAAAATGCCGATTATGGACTTTCTTGTTGTAGTATTTCGCTGCGGCGAGTTGATAATTCTGGATTCGACATAGCGCGGTGTTGCGGTTTTCTTCCAGGTCGTCGAGACTGTGCCTCATCATTTCATCGTTGAGATCATTATTCTGTATCATCATGGAACGTCGGAGGCTCGTACACCCTACTTCGGCCGGGGCCATCGCTTCCATTCCGTAGGCTAATGAAAACGGAGTTTGTTCGGTGGCGCTGCGCGGGGTCGTTCTGTATGACCATAGGACGCCGTCGAGTTCGTCTGCCCAGACTCCTTTTTTGGCTTCTAGCCGTTTCTTGAGTCCGGCGAGGATTGTTTTGTTTGTTGCCTCAGCCTGGCCGTTGCCTTGGGGGTAACGCGGTGTTGACTTGTTCAGACGAATTCTCCAGCTAGCGCAGAAATCTTCGAACTGTTGCGAAATAAACTGCGAGCC